AATAAATGGCTCAAGTCAATGGGATTTCGAAAGAACAGTATATTCCCTTGCAGACTTATAAAACAAGTTAAACACTGTATGATAGACTGGATAGAATTTGATAATGTCCATATCAATCAATATGACTATTACAGAACCTCCTCAAATATGATGAATGCATTTGTATTAAAATACTTTATTAGATAATTATAAAAATTGTAAACTAAAAGTATAATTATCTCTTTCCTGTGTCGTTTGTTTTATTTCACTTCATATTCTCTTCTCTATTGTTCTCGTGTACCTGTATTTCCATTCCATATTCTTCTATCTGTCGTTCTCGTGTACCTGTACTTCCATTTCATATTCTTCTCTATGTCATTCTCGTGTACTGTATTCCATGTCATATGTTATCCTTCATTACCCTTCGTCTAATTTTCTTGTTCTTTATATGTAATTAAACGAAATGATTGTATATTTAAAAGTGTTATGTCATACAACATTATAAGACTTCTCTATAATCCTTTCTATATTGTGAACCAATACTTAAATGGCACAATAAACATCTATATATCAAAAAAAAAAAAAAAAAAAAGGAATAAATGTTAAGAGTAATCGAACGACTACTCATATCAAAAGTAAAGTTTTTTTTTCGAAGAATAATGAACGTGTTCTTATTGGTAATGAATCTTTAATTTAAAAACTAAAACGAATAGTTTTTGTTATTAGAAAAAGGTGTTAAAGGTAGTTTTGTTACCGTCAATCGATTGAAACGCTTTGGTTTTATCAAGCGGTAATTATGATCCTTTTTTTTGGTATTTAATTTTTTTTGTTTTCCAGTAAAGATCAAACTGAATGGCCTGATCTTTCGCACGAGAAGCTTCAATAATTGATCAAGTTCATCCATAGAAACTATTCGTGGCTGATACCTGCAGATTTGACATTATGAAAAGTAAGTCATTTAACTCTAGTCACAGTATAAATAATATCTCGTTGTTTTACGTAAAAATTCGATCAATACACGGCAGTTACAAACAATTATTAGACGACAAATGATTATAGATTTAATAATAATTGATCAACATATATATATATATATCTGATGAAATTTATTACTCTTTGTTCATTACTTTTCATAATCATCTGTTATTATTTGATTATTTAATGAGTTTCATGAGGAGAAATTTTCAAGCATGATCTCTGATGTTTATTTATTTTTTTCTGTAAAAATATTAATCCGAAGAGTTCTTTCTATGTAAAGAAAATAGATATAAAATGACAATATTTTATATTGACGACATTAAGAGAAAAAGTTAGATGATATATCGAGACTTTTCAAAGGATGCACCACAGGTATCTAATCGACTGTTTGTCTCGTATGTTTTGACTTAGACTTGGAAATAAGGAGAAAAAAGATCTCATATAAATAAACATCTGATATAGCATCATCATCTAGTTAGAACGGAAAACACATCCTAGCACTTTCTTGTTTTTTATTATTGATGAATTCAAAAAAAAAATTTTTTTTATTTAAAGAAATAAGGCAGAAGTAAAATAAAGTATTTTTTGACTTTTGTATTTACCGACAACAAAAATCGAAGAGATTAGTTGAAATAAATTTCTATCAGAAGAGATACTTTTTAAATTCTAATTGGAAGGTTTCAGGAAATCTAATATTCCAAAAAACTGTTTGAATATATTCCATAGGTATTAAAATCATAAATATTGCAAAGCAAAGTTTTTTAGTTTCGTGATGATATGAATTTTGTATTTTTTTTTGATATCAGTAAGGAGAAAAGTTATTAATATTTGATTCGTATGAGTGCAATTAAGAAAGGCCATATTTGAATAACGCTTCATTGTTCTAAATAATGAACAAAATCAATTCGACTTAAACACATCATAAGACAATTGGAAGAGTTTTATGCTTTGGTTAACGATAAAAATTTTCAAATGACAAATAGGAAACGATGAAGAACTTATTGACAAGAAACATCTCAAAAAAAAAAAACTTTGCACATAGGAAATTTCCAAAAACAAAATATCTATTTTTCTTCGTCCGGCGATAGTGGCTCAATCGATCGGCTTAAATCTCTAGTTTCGATTATACAGCATTTCCACGGTACCATAAATGTCCATCGCGGCTAAGAATCTGCCAAATTTCGATTTTTGAATATATGAACATCGAGATTCTGTACAAATTTATATATATTTGAAATTTCTTCCACATTGCGATGATTTTTGACAAAAATCTACCATTGTCGCCATGGATATCTCTAATATTCTTATATCAGGTTAGGAGCAAATCAAAAAATTTGAAAGTTTCATAATAATGTCTCTATGTGCAAAAAGTCAATTTGAAAATCAGTATTCATGAGAAGTACTACTAGAGCCCATCGAACCCAAGTAGGACTCGATGGACTTCTAAGTACCACTGCATTAAGTTAAAAAGTAATATACAGTATGTTTTCAATAATAGACAAAAGGCACAATAGGGATTAATTAATCGCAGGACTTTCCTTGTAAGCGTGTATCCAACATTATAACAAGTCTATTTTAAAAATTTTTTCATAGACAGCATAATGTTATATTTAGTGTTTTATTCAATTTGCATGATAAATGAAAATGTTTAGATATATTTATTTTTTTATTTATCAAAAAAGCAAAAAAAAAATTATTGTATTTTTAACTTTACTTTAGATTTAATCGAAGCAAAAACAACTGGTTGTTTTGATTTATTAGATGAAGAAAGTAAATTACCAACACCTCAAGCTGAACATTTTACAATTGAAGTTCATAAACGTAATAAAGGTCATCCAAGATTTGAAGTAGGATAAAAAAGTTCATTTGATTTTTTAAAAATAATTTTATTCAAAATTTTAGTTTCCACGAAAATCAAAATTACGTTCATCACGTGAAATACGTGATGATGAAGGTTTTCTTATACAACATTTTGCTGGTGGTGTTGTTTATACAACCGTAAGTTTGTTGTTGTTTTTTTTTGTTTTATTATTAATCTATTTTGTAGGCACAATTTATTGAAAAAAATAATGATGCTTTACATGCATCTCTTCTTATTCTTATTCAAGAATGTAAAAATAATTTTATAAAAAATTTATTTCCAAAATT